TCTGTATCCGCAAAAAGAGACGTGAGTACTGGTGGCACCTTAGAGACTAACAAATTTATTAGAGCATAAGCTTTTGGGGACTACAGCCACGCATCCGAAGAGGTGGGCTGTAGTCCACGAAAGCTTATGCTCTAATAAATTTGTTAGTCTCTAAGGTGCCACAAGTACTCCTGTTCTTTTTGCGGATACAGACTAACATGGCTGCTACTCTGAAACCTCTCTTTTTAAGATTTCACTCAATTCCTTCCAAATTTCAACAGCGTCAGCAATAAAACAGCTATTTCCCTGCATTTTGTTCAAGGCTACAGAAATAGGCTTCAAGGTACTCAGCATGTGTTCAACATTTCTCTTAAGCCAAATGTTGAGAACTTTGGCTGTGACAGTGCCATCTATTTTTTCACTATTTTGTTCACAAACTGTCATCAGATTAGGCCAGTTCTTGATATAGTGCTCAAAACAGTCCACTACTGAGTTCCATCGCACGTCTTGTGGGAGAGTTAGGTTGGTTCCTCCCACTTTTTTCAGAGCAGCTGCTGCAAAGTGGTTGTTACGGAAATAGTTTGCAATTTCAACAACATTAGCCTTTATTTCTGGAACACTGAAGTCTTTGGCTAGGAGGTGCATCAAATGAGCACTGCAACCATACGTTATTAGCTTGGGACTCTCTTCTAAATAATTTCTTATCATCTTGGATACATTTGCAGCATTGTCTGTGACCAAGCTGCATACTAGACATTTGATTTTTTTTTCACAGTTTGTTATAGCTTTTACTGCTACTTGTTGTAAGTATTCTGCTGTGTGTGCATTTCCTGATGTATCAATTGTTTCTGTAAGGAAGACATTCCCTTCTTCTGTTGTCACACAAGCACATACAACAGGATCATTGTGGACATTGCTCCACCTGTCAAGACTCAGGTTAACAATTTCATCCTCTAGACCAGAGGTTCCCAAACTTATTTGGCCTACCGCCCCCTTTTCAGAAAAAAAAATTACTCAGTGCCCCCCTGGAAATCTACCTTCTTTAAGTGAACAAACAGAAAGATGCAGTGACAAATTTGCATTCTTTTATGTATCTATATTTCTACCTATGTCCTACAATATAGTAAAGAAAGATGTTGTAAATAAGACACCTTGAAGCTTGAAATTATAAAATTATTTATTAAAATCAACCGTAGTAACATTGAAAATTAAGATAACGAAGGATAATATTAAAATAAAAATTACGAATAACATTAAAAATAATCCTAATGAGAAGGATGAACCTGGTGCGCCGCTATCAATTTATTAATGTTCGGCTCTATTTTTGTCAGCAGCATTCTTAAATCACCGCGATTAGCTATTTGCAGTCGGTTTCTTTTTTTAGTTAACAGATTTGTGACCGCACTGAACCCACATTCCACTAAATATGATGAAGGAAATGCAATTAAAAACTTTTGTACTATAGCCCATAATGCAGGATAAAGTGTAGGTCTCTGCTTTTGCAGCCAGAACTGTTGGTAGCCGTCTTTGAGTTTAAATTTCAATTCCTCATTTGTTGTTACTTCTATCAGTTCTTCTTGTAATTTTGGAGATTCTTCTGTGTTTGTACTTGAAGAAGGGTCCAAAACACAATAGGGTATGTTCATTTTAAGAATATCTTCAAATCGTTGATTGAAGTCAGAATGGAGAGCCTCCAAGTGCTGACAATAGGTAAGCAAGTCTTCATCATGTTTTTCTACTGTTGATAAATTTGGAAACTGGCTGAATTCTCCTCGTCCTAAATTTCGTTTGTACAGAAGAAGTTTTGCCACAAACGCGGAAATAACAGTTTTTGTTTTGATGAAATTCAGCTCATCGCCTTGGAGCTGTAAATTTGTTTAATTAAATTTATTAAACAAGTCTGTCAAATAAGCTATGTCATTTTTGGAATCAATCAAGTTGGCTCGTAAAGCATCATCTTTGTTTTCTAGGAACTCTAGCACTGAGTCAAAGAGTTTATAAAACCGATCCAAACAGGCACCTTTTGATAGCCAACGAACTTCTGTATGAAGCAGCAAGCGATTGAATTCTTTGTCGTTTTCAATACAAAGTTGTCCAAACAATCTGTCATTCAATGAATTGCTTCTGATTTTGTTGATTGCTTTAATGACATAATGTAATGACCTATGTAGGCGTTCACTCAGATTTTTGGCAACTAAATGTTGACGATGAATGACACAGTGTACAGCAAATACATTTGGAACCGTTTTTTTTAAATATGCAAGAAAACCCCTGTAGCGCCCTATCATCGCTGGAGCACCATCAGTAGCAACTGACAAGATATTACTCAGGAGGATTTCTTTTTCTTTAAAAAAAACTTCCAATGCATGAAATATCGATTCTCCTTTAGTATCAGTTTGCAAATTTTTAGCAAATAATAATTCTTGGCAAATTTTTTCTTCTTTTATGAATCGCATGTATGCTAAAAGTAAGGCTTCATTTCCTGGCAAGTTGACTCATCAAGCTGTATAGAGAACTGGGATGTTTTTAAATACTCACATAATGAGTCTTCAACATCTTGAGCCATTTCATCAATTCTTCTTTGCACTGTATTATTGCTCAAAGAAATTTTCTTGGTAATATCAGACGCTGGCTTGTGTAGCATAGTGCGTATTACCTCACTTATAGCCAGTAGAATTAGTTCTTCACCAATAGTATGCGGTTTTCCCGATTTAGCAATCAGTAACGAAATGTTGTAAGAAGCACGCAACCCATCGTCCTCGTCTTTGGATGCTATTGAAAAGAGCTTTGCCAATGTCGGCTGTCTCAAAAATTTTTCTTTAAGTGCTTGAAAATAAGATAAATCCTTATCTTTCTTATCAGCATGAATTTTTGTCAAATGTTCTTGTAGTCTTGAAGGCTTCATAGCTTCATTTGATAAAACTTTTTGGCAAATCAGGCACATCGGTAATGTATTGTTTGTAGGCGACTGAATAAAGCCATAGTTCAAATATTCAATACTATATTGTTTACATTTTTTCTTGGATTCAGTCATTATATTATCTGTAAAAAAAATAAAATTTATGTGTTTATTTATCATAATAGGGGCATAAAATTATCAAGATATATAACAATTTATATAATTGAAAAAGTGCAATTTCTCTCGCCGGAACCAAAATTTTTTGCAATAGTTGTGTTATTAGAATATCGCCCACGACATCAGGCATACAGTGGTTTTTGCGTAAGACGGCAAAAGACAACCAAACTAAAATACTAATGAAACTAATAAACTGGGTTTTGTTCTTTGCTCAGCATTAGATATATGTATTTGATATTAAATTGTCAAATATCAAACTAAATTTATCAAGAAATAATTCATTTAAAAAATAATCAATATGCAATTAAAAATCAAATAGTTGTAATTTAGTTTGCCCTTATTTAAATAATTGTTCCTTATTAACACACGCCTTATTTACCAATTAACACAGATGATTCGATAGATATAAATAAATGTTAATAGTTAACAGTTTTTTTACAATTTCATTCCCCTGTTTTCGTTAATATTGTAATAAAAATATGACAAATATATTGACTGTACACTTCAAATAGTACTGTACCGACACAAGCCTGCTACGATTTTATTATTAGTAAGCACTAGAGACACACAAACGTACGGTAGATATGTAAGAAAATGTATAAAAATACTCACGTGTAAATTGCTGCTTTATTGAAACAACAGTAATACAATTTGCTTTGTATGTGATTCGTAATCCGTAAAGATCGAAGGTATCGAATATGAATAAAAATGTTTAAATACTTATTGCACTATTGTTAACTGCTTTTTACACAATTCAGAAACAATCTAAATTAGATTTCATACATGTCGCCTATTTATAGTATCGTATTGTAAACAAGTCATTACACGCACATATTCCTGCCGATGCATGCTGGACTTCCCGACAATGCGCGCGACACGCTCGCCTGCCAACACTTGCTTGTTAAGAGCTGTTGGCGGACTTGACACCTGATTGGTTATAATTTGTGAATCTATTTGGAAAATAAAGTAATCACTACAACTTTAACTCTATGTTACACAACAGATGAAACATGTACGAACGGTTTTTCAAAATTTTCTTATATTCTCTTCTTTCTTTATGCTTCCACCGCCCCCTTATTTTTATTCAACGCCCCCCAATTGCACCCGAGGCTACTACTGCCCCCCTGGATCGTTCCAGCGCCCCCCAGGGGGCGGTATCGCCCACTTTGGGAACCTCTGCTCTAGACCTTTTGCAAACTGCTCAATTTCTCTTTCATACACTTTATCCAGCAGTTTGCCTGCAACATCTGCTCTGTTGGGTGGACTGTATCCTGGTCTTAATGACTGAACCATGTTAATGAAGTGTGGGTTCTCAATCATACGGAAAAGAGAGTTTTTTTTTCATCAGTTACCTCTTTTTGTAATCTGCTGGTTCTTATCACAAACTTATCTATGGTTGTTTTTAGATGATGGAGATTCTTTTCCCTTTTGCTACCGGTGATATACTGTGGCTATGTGACACATATGATGTGACTGAAACACTATCATTGGCAGATAACTCTGAAACTATAGAAAATGATGGTGATCTTGAAGGTGGATAGTCTTCAGAATCCTGTATGTTGAGGATGGATTCTCCTAAACAAAATAAGTCAATGCAGTTATTTAATTATTATTACCATATTGCTCATTTAGTATTACTCATTGCATTCCCTGACACTCAGTACTACTTTAAAGGTGAAATTGTAAAAGGAAGATCTGCCTATTTCAGCTATTTATTTTTTATCACAACTGCATCTAAAATGATAGTACCATAGAGTAACAACTATATTTTTTTGCTCAAACATGAGAATTCAAGAATAGTCCAGAAGGAAGACAGGCAATCCTTAAGAAAGATGTATGAAATAAAAAAGTCTTCAGTCACAACCTGAAGATCCTGCATGTTCAGACATGTTCCTTTCATCATCTTCAATGCGGCTTCCTCCTGAGAAGGAATACTTCTCATGCTGTTGTTTCATTCGGGCAATCAGGCCTTGCATTTCTTTGTTGCACTGTTTGCATTTTGCACGCATGCCTGTCTTACCCACAGGTAGAGGAACTTCATTAAAATATTCCCAAACTGGGTCTCTTATAGGTTATAGGTTTTCCTTTCTAGTGAGAGAATGGTATGGTAGATCTCAAATCAATGAAGGCTACACTCAGAAAGACCTCAAGACTTCTGGAATATGCTGCTCAAACAGTTTCACTTTTGTTTCTACTGCCTGTCCCTCCCGTTTCACATTTATCTCCAGACTTCTTCTCCTTGTCCAGATCTGTTCCGCCCCCAACAATCTTCTATTCATTGAACTTTTAGAAACTTTGCACTTTTAGAGACAGGTAAGGGATTGACTCTGTGTACACAAATTTGCAGAGGGACAATAGGGTTGAGGTCTGTTATTTCTCTCTATATTTATTTATTTATTTATTTTAAAAATTTTTTGCTGTTAACAAACAAGTTATCCCTGGAGACACAAATCCACAGTTTGAGAACTGCAAAAATAAGCATCTCTGATGGTATCTTCTAAACTGAGCACTGAGTCCCATTGGGTAGATAGAAAGATTAACCTAAATAATCTATACAGAAGCCCCTGGAACCCCATAAGATTGGGTCTCTAATTCATGAACTATTGGAACTCATTTACAAAACTCTTCTTAAACATTACATGAATATATTGTCTCATACTATAGAATTAGAATGTATAATCCCTATTCCACGATGAGATGTCTTTGAGCTATAATGTATCCTAATTAAACTATCTTTAGATAGGTTTTTTCCTCAAAAAGCATTTTATCAAAAAAATCCGATTTAAATAAAAAAAATCCAATTTAAAAAAAAAATCATTGATTTTTATCCACCCTGCCTGGAGGTCAGAGCAGGAGACAGGCTAGAACTCCCAGATTCTATTTCTGGCTCTAAATTCTCATTGTATAGTCTGTTTTGGGGCAAGTCATGTCACCTCCATGCTTCAGTTTTTTTATTTGAATTCTTATAAACTGTTACGAAATCCTGGGATGAAAGGTTCTGTTAACATACAACATGTTAGTAATAAGAATAGAGAGTGGTAATGAAAACTTATGTTTACATACATGTCTTGGAGATTAAGGGAGGGGCCTTAAATCATGTTATTCTTTAACAATAATCTTCAGTAATTCTCCCCCCAAATTAACAAGAGCAATCAAGTGTTGGTTCACAAAAGTAAGAAGTAGCATCTGATTCTAAAATTATGAATTCCTTTGTGTGACTTCGGAATGATGCTCTTCTGAATTAGGTGAAATGTGTTATTTCTACTTCCATCCTATTTGTCCACTGGATTAATGGCATGTGTCTGGGTTCTAGATTCATAGAATCAATCATAGAATCATAGAATATCAGGATTGGAAAGGACCTCATAAGTTCATCTAGTCCAACCCCCAGCTCAAAGCAGAACCAATCCCCAACTAAATCATCCCAGTCAGGGCTTTGTCAAGCCTGACCTTAAAAACCTCTAAGGAAGGATTCCAGCGGTCTATAATATTTTCAGCAGATTCCCTCACCAGTTGAGGCTATGACGTTTCAGTTCCCATTTTATTCATTGCAACTTCCATCAGCTGTCACTATCGGTCACTATCACTGGCATTTTTTGCCTTTGCACACATCTAGATATCTTGAGATGAAATTGGCTATTAAATTATTTTTCCTGTGTGTTTGACATAAAACATAGACACACATTTTGAACACATGGAATAGTGTATGTCAGTCAAAGGGTGAGTGGTGGATGAGCCTTTTTAGGAAACCACAGACAATCATTCCACAGAGTATTGGAATGATACAGGGCAGTTGTTTTGGTAGCTGTCAAGAGATGTCAAAACTGCACTGATAACCATGTTACTGTCCATCCATTTCCCATTAAGAAACATTTATGGTGCATTTTTAATTTATGTTCATGTTTAATAAATGCAGAATTATGTGCTTTGCAAAATATTGTGTTACTGAATTCTGTCATTCTGGATGGTTTAGGACCAAGTGTCCTATGTCATTACAATAGAAGGGACACCGTATACTCTTCACCTGAAGCAACAGTAAGTGATTGACTTTGTTCCTAACCCTTTGGTTCTTATCTGTTATAAATCAGTCATGTGGCTCACAAAAGGTTCTAATAAGGTTTATCAAATATTGGATAATTTGTCTTCGACTTCCCTTTCTTTTCCAATAATTGGTTATAACTTTCAGTCTGTAACAGTCCAAGCTGATACTTCTCTATCTTCTTTGCTGTAGCCTCAGTTATTCCTAGTATTGTGCACTGACAATAGGAGAATCTAAGATTCTCTAATAGGAAGTATTTTCAGAGATCCATGTATTCTTCAGTTTCAAGACTTAAGCAGAAGTTTGAGAAGCTGACTGGCAAAGAAAGGAAAAGAACTGACAGGAAAAGAACTTGGAATCCTCAGAAGGGTTTGTAGATATGCTGCACATAACTGTCACCCCATCTAACTCAGCAATTTTGCAGTCTGAAAGAAGCGATAAAACATTAAATTGTAACTTAAGAAACAAAACTAAGGGATGATGCAAATCATTGCACCATGTTGAAAATAGTGTGGGTGCTCTTTAAATTTGCAGGAATGTGTAATCTTTATTTTTTAATTCAAACATTTTTTATTCTCTTTTTTATAGACTATTTTTATCTGATGATTTCAGGGTTTATACTTACACCAAAGGGGGGGCTGTTCATTCTGATTTCCCACATATTAAGGTAAGATTTAATTACCGGTACTTTGTTTTGTAGCTTCTTAGCTTTTTCAGAACAGAATTGCTGTTAGAAATACTCTCTGGGGATTTTACATTTCTTTAAGTATCAGAAAACCTCTCCCTATCTTTAGTTATTTATTGCTGACATTCTACTAATCCTGGCATGAGATTCTTCAAGGAAACATTCTCTATGGAAAATTAACAATAAGATTAATTATTTCAAGTTTATTTTGGTTGGCTAATTAGCAACTTTTTCAAGAAAACGACTAGTTAGACTGAAATGTGCTTACAGTAGTTAACTTGCAGAATGGACATTAAAGGAGCAAACATATAACTTGTGCTTAAACTCATAGGGGAAGGCCAGGACAGGAAAATTGAGGATTTTCTACTGTCCTGTACATTTACCATCGGTAATGTTTAGATCCTCCATCACAAACTGTCCTCCACAGATGCTCTACTCCAGGATTTAGCTGAAGCTGGTGTCACACTAGCTGCCTTTTCTCCTAATGTAATCCATTGCTTAATTTATTAGGATTTCCTCACACAAGCTAATGTGCTTTTTCTGAAAACAATAAGAGTTGAGGAAGTGCAGCATACTTCCGGATGGGTCCCTTAATTCCTTCTCTCAGAGTGCTTTATTGTGGTCTACAGGGTGGATCTGTGAAAGGATCCCAAGAGGTAGAAAAGTGGGTCACTAGTTGTTCTCCCATTGGGTCATCTCATCTAGATGCATGCCCTTCCCTCACCTCCATTTAATTTTTAAAGCGTATAATCTTTTTCCTTTCTCATCAAGACTCTTTTGTTTACTGGTTTGGCATCTCTCCAAAGCTTCTTATTCCCCTTCCCTCTCTGTTCTTTCATTCCTACTCTTTTTCTGCCTTTTTTCCATCATTGATGATTTCACCCTCTTTCCTCTGTTTTCTCTTTTAATCACTATCCATAGGCTCAGTCTTCTTCCCTCCCTGTGCCCCACACAGGGAAGGGGTTGCCTCAGGTGTGGGTGAGCATCCCCTTCTGACTCGAGGTAGAGCAGTGGTGGGCAACCTGCAGTCCACTAGCCGCACACAGCCCGTCAAGGTACTCCGTTGGCGGGCCACAAGACAGTTTGTTTACATTGACCTCCCACAGCTCCCAGTGGCAGTGGTTTGCCGTTCCCAGCCAATGGGAGCTGCAGGAAGCAGCAGCCAGCTTGCGCCGCTTCCCGCAGCTCCCATTGGCTGGGAACGGCGAACCGCAGCCACTGGGAGCTGCGGGCGGCCGTGCCTGCAGACAGTCAATGTAAACAAACTGTCTCGTGACCTGCCAGCGAATTACCCTGACGGGCCGCAGGTTGCCCACCACTGAGGTAGAGTACGATGTTTGGCTGTTCCTTCTGCAAAGTAGAGCAGGAAATAGACGAAAACTGTGAGCAGTTCCAGCAGTTACAGGGCCTTTGCTATGAATACCACTTAGGAATTAGTGCTCAGCTTTTGTCTGAGGGCGGGAAAAGAGAGCCATGCATTGCTTAGCAATATAACAGACAGACGCATGCTGTAGGAGAATCTCAGAGCAAGGGCAAGCCGGGCTTGGCCATTTGCTGCAACCCAGCCTTTGTGATGGGGTGGATCTTGAGAAACCATCTTTCAAAATTTAGAGATCTACCTGGGAGCATAGAGCTTAGGATCTCTAAGGAATTACCTTGAAACTATCACTGCCTCCTCCCTTCTAAGCCATTTTGTATGTCTCTGATAGAAATATAAGAATGAAAAAGTCGGGGCCAAGATGCAATCATAAGGGCAAATCCAGTCTTTTCCATACAGATACAGAGTATTCTTGTACATTGGTACTGGCATTTCTGGTGTGGAAGAGATCAGGTGTGTGGACTTTAGGGGGCTGCATAGGACGGGCTGGGCCCTCTGTGTCACTGAACCCTTCTACATGTGAGCCCCCTATGCATCATTGCTGAAGGTGGGGAGGAGGCCAGGGTGAGTATGAACATGCTGGGGAGTATGCTGGGGAGTCTGTAATGCAGATCTTCCTAACTCCTTTCTCCTATCCTACCAGGGAAATATGTAAAGGCCTTGCATAGACTACTTTAGTCATTAGGATGAAGTATCCTATGCAGAACAGCTGTGGAGCCACTCGTTAGCCTTGGGGAAAGGTTCTTCCTCCTATAGTCCCTCACTCATCTCTCCAGCTCCCTGCCTAGTTACTCTGGCGGGCACTGACCTCAGATTTTGAGTCATAATACTGAGATGTGTTCTACCTCCACACTTCTATTTTTAGATGGTTTCAAGTTCCATACAAGTGTCTGTGGAAGCTCCAAAATGTATAGATGTGGAGATGACCTGGTTGGAGAACTATACTTACTAATAAGCAAACTATTCATTTTACTTTGATTTTTTAATTTTTTTATTTAGGATGATTGCTACTACCAAGGGTATATTGCAGGCTTTCCCAATTCACTTGTGACACTCAGCACCTGCTCTGGGCTCAGGTAATGAAATATTTTAATATAATTTTAATAGAATTAATTATAATAAAACCTCTAGTAAAATTCAGTATCCCAGATACTTCTGTGCGGTTACAGTTGGAAAATGGTGACTTTTTAATGGTGCCCACTATATATAGTATCTAACATTTAAGGTCTCAAGCTGATGGCAAATTAATTCAGATCATTCTATAATTTTATGTAACCTGCACTGTTTGCTTTTTCAGAGGGCTATTGCAGTTTGAGAATGCTAGCTATGGAATTGAACCCTTGGATTCTTCACCTGGGTTTGAGCACATTATTTATCAAATAAAGAATGAAAACACTCAGAGTCCACTTTTTGCAAACAACTACACTGATATAGGGAGAGAAAAGGTGACAGGAAAGGTGTCTTACAAGCTGCATACAGATATTGAAGTGAGTGCCGCTTTTTATCATAATGGTAGAGATTATGTCTAACCTGAAAACTAGGGCACAGGAAATTCACTGTGATGGTCTTGAATCTGGATTTAATTTTTAATTATGTCATTGATATGCAGAAACTGGGCATATGAAAGTCATTACTTTGATAAGAAACAATAGTACTGGGAATAAGTTATTAATGAAGAAGTGTGATCCATTAGCCTGAACATGATGCTCTGTGTCATCACGGTATCTGCAGACACAATGTTGCCCAAATTCTATCTCAGTCGGGATGGCTTTAGCCACACATGCACAGCTCAGGCCTCAGGCTTTTGAATGAGGATAACTCCTGTAAATCTCCCTGATTAGAGTCTCCCTGTCAGCATTAAACTGCAGGTCTAATTTTCACTTGCAAATGTAAACAGTCATGCCTTATTTTTGGCTCCCTACTTCTACTTTAAGTACTCACTCTTGATGCCCTTCCACCATGGCTTGATTAGAGGATGGATTTTCAATCCTGGCCTTCCACAGAAAAAAATCCCTCTCCTAGAACTTCATGTGTAGATCCTGTTTGCTGGGTCAAAGAAGGTATTGAGGACCACAGAGACAACAGACAAGATGTTGCTGGTGCCAGTGGTTGAGAGTGAAGAGTGACTGGAGGGACATTTAACTATCCCATCAGAGAACTGGTGGCATTTCAAAGGGCAAAAATAAGACCCAAATGGCACAGGAGGCATGAAGTTCTCCAGAGATGTTTGAGGTTTAAGGCCTTGGTCCCCCAGAAGCTTCCATTGGACAAGGGAGACCAATTCATAGAGTGGAGTGGGAGGGAAATTATTTTTGATTGAGACTAAAATTTGGCATCAGAATGTCTGATTTTTCACTTTTCAAGAATCTGGAAAGTGATGGCATTTGGCTGGTTTGGCCAGCTGTGCATATTACTTCTGTGGCTCCTTGGTTCAGAAGTTTTGCTAATAATGAAGAGTTAGGCCTGGTCTACACTATGAGTTTAATTCGAATTTAGCAGCGTTAAATTGAATTAACCCTGCACCCGTCCACACAACGAAGCCATTTCTTTCGAAATAAAGGGCTCTTAAAATCGATTTCTGTACTCCTCCCCGACGAGCGGAGTAGTGCCCAAATTGATATTGCCATTTCGAATTAGGGTTAGTGTGGCCGCAATTCGATGGTATTGACCTCCGGGAGCTATCCCACAGTGCACCATTGTGACCACTCTGGACAGCAATCTGAACTCGGACGCACTGGCCAGGTAGACAGGAAAAGCCCCGTGAACATTTGAATTTTATTTCCTGTTTGCCCAGCGTGGAGAGCACAGGTGACCACAGAGAGCTCATCAGCACAGGTAACCATGCAGGCCGATAATCGAAAAAGAGCACCAGCATGGACCGTACGGGAGGTACTGGATCTGATCGCTATATGGGGAGAGGATTCAGTGCTAGCAGAACTTCGTTCTAAAAGACGAAATGCCAAAACTTTTGAAAAAATCTCCAAGGGCATGATGGAGAGAGGCCACAACAGGGACTCAGATCAGTGCCGCGTGAAAGTCAAGGAGCTCAGACAAGCCTATCAAAAAACAAAGGAGGCAAATGGTCGCTCCGGGTCAGAGCCACGGACATGCCGCTTCTACGCCGAGCTGCATGCAATTCTAGGGGGGGCCGCCACCACTACCCCACCTCTGACCGTGGATTCCGAGGCGGGGGTAATCTCATCAGCCACACCTGAGGATTCTGTGGACCGGGAAGAGGAGGAGGAGGAGGAGGAGGACGAGCTTGCTGAGAGCACACAGCACTCCGTTCTCCCCAACAGCCAGGATCTTTTTCTCAGCCTGACTGAAGTACTCTCCCAAGCCAGTATCCAAGACCATGACCCCATGGAAGGGACCTCAGGTGAGTTTACCTTTTAAAATATAAAACTTGTTTTAAAAGCAAGTGTTTTTTTAATGATTACTTTGCCCTGAGGACTTGGGATGCATTCGCGGCCAGTACAGCTACTGGAAAAGTCTGTTAACGTGTCTGGGGATGGAGAGGAAATCCTCCAGGGACATCTCCATGAAGCTCTCCTGGAGGTACTCCAAAAGCCTTGCCACAAGGTTTCTGGGCAGTGCAGCCTTATTCCGTCCTCCATGGTAGGACACTTGACCACGCCATGCTAGTAGCAAGTAATCTGGTATCATC